GCCGAACCGCCAGTCCGACCCGGCCGACCCCCTCTCCTTCCGGGTTCCCCCCCAGTTCCCCCCTCGGCATGACGTGCTGTGGTATGGAATACCTCTTTGGTCAGTTTGGGTCAGGTGTCCTGTCTCTGCTTCCTCCCGGCCTCCCCTCCTCCCTGGCAGAGCATGAGACTCACAAAGTCCTTGGCCAAACCAAAACATCATTTTTATCACCTTTGTTCCGAGCCCGAAAGTCAAAACACAGCACTGCACCAGCTACCAAGAAGGAGAAAAAATGACTGCTGCTGCTAAACAGAAGAGAGAGAAATGGAGGAAGGGGAGGGGATAAGGAAGGAAAGGGGAAGGGAAACCCGCCCGGAAAGTGCGGTAAAGGGCAGAGTCAGAGTTGGAGGGGATGCAAGAGCAAAAAAGAACAGAATGGTGGCTAGAGAGGGAGTAAGAAGAAAAGTCAACTGATAAAAGGAGAAGTAGGATTAGTCTGCACCGGGGTTTTCTGCTTCCCCTTTTACTTGCTGTAAGAATACATTTTTCACGAAAAAGGGAAGGACTTTGGGCCACAGCAACCCCACATGAGGACTGAGGTTTGGTGGCAGTGAGATAGCTCAGACTGAGTCGTTAATAAACAAGAGTACCCAGTGTCAGTGCAGGCTGGGCAAGTTAATGGCGTTTTCTGTTGTCACTCAGAGTACTCATACCCAGAACATTGCCGGAAACCCCCAGAGCTTGCTTGGAAGTGCTCTAAAAGGGGAGCACAGAGCACTCAGTGTGCTTTTCAGAGCAGCACCATGCAGAGAGGAAAGCATGTTCCTCTGGTGGGGCAGTGCAGCAGGGTTAACAGGATCCTGTGTGAATGCACTTGGTGCCCTGCAGATGCGGTGTGTTGCTGCTGCTTCCAAGCACCAGCTAGGCTGTCAGTGTGTAAAGTGTAGCAGGGGCAGCCATGTCACTGCCATTTGGGGTTTTTTTTCTGCCTTTTTTTTTTTGCTTTTCTTGCCTCTTTGAAAGTTATATTTTAATCGTTCTGCCCGTTCCGTGTCGTGGTGGTTCGAGCTGGGCACATTCTATCAATCAGCAGCTTTGCTCCAGCCTGAGCTATCAGTGTGCTGCTCCCCAAAATGCACTAGAGTGTGTTCTGCATCCTAAACACCCCTGCATGGCTGAGATCATGGTGCCTCTGACCACAGGCAGCACAACTTTTAACATGCTTTACAAACTGAAGTAAAGGTGATTAGGCAGAGCTTTTATGGGCTGCTTCCTTACACACGCATGAATTAATGTGAGGCATTTTGGGTGAGAGGCTTTGTTTGATTTCTTGAGCCAGCCTCACTTGCAAGGGTTTTGTACAAGCACTTGTCATAACACTGCTGTGCCGAGCAGGGACTGGGAATACAGAACAGACTCTTCCTGTACTCAACTACAGTTTTTATTCTAATATATGTATGTATATAAACTTCTCCGTATTGCATACATTCCATTATTGCACATTATATTTTCCTGAACAGGAATAAATTGCAGGCTTACACCTAGTTCTCGCTCTCTTTTATTGTTATTTTAAGCAGCAGGTAAGGTTATAATCCATCTGTGTTTGTGACCTTGAACAAGAATGGGCACTTTCTCATTTACATAATGCTATTTTTTACTGAGCCATTAAACTGCAGAAAAACAGGGCCAGCATGGAAAGTAGTCATCTACATATGTTTAAAAAAAATAACTGCAGTAAATCCAACCAGAGAAAGCAGACTTCTAAAAAGATGCAAGTGTTCAAGAAATTAAAAAGCAAATGGACTGTAAAGGCAGTTTTACTGCAAGCAAAACCTCCTAAAATAAGATCCTTGATAAATACCACTCTGTGCATTTGGTGCGCTGGTACCCTGCCTGCATGAACACTGCTCCCCTGACAGCTCCTGCCTTCATCAGTGGGATACTCCCCACTCCCCTGGAACCACAGCTCTGCAGCCCATGGCCTACGGTGCTCCAGTGTTATGAACCTGATTCCAAGTTTTGCCTGAGGGGAGAAAGCCCACAGTGCTGAGCTGGGCTGTTTGAATCACAGACTGTGTGTGCTAGCGCTGAGATATTAAATAGCCGCGACTCTTCCACATTGTGAATAACCGTTACAGCAGGAGCTGTAAATGACAAGGCACGGTGATTTGGAGGGACTGAAACATTAAATTTGCTGCTGTTGATTCAGTTTCTGAAATGGGCACTAATCTTGATCCATAGGCTTTCTGCAGCATCTGGGGTATGTTTTATCAAGCAGTCACACTGACTCTTGTTTTTTTTGCTTGTGGGGATGTTAAGTTGTGCCTTACTAAGCAGGATTGTGACAGGCCTTTGCGGATGAGGTGAAGGTAAGGGAAACCTCACTGCAGACACCCCAAGGGCTAGCTGCAGCTGCACATGGCCAAAGTGTCTGTAGCTCATCCCCAGACTGAGCAGCCAGTGGTGTGCTGCCTGGAGACCTCACTACAGCAGCCTCCCGACAGGGTGAAGGCTGGAGGTGACCTGTTGCTGAGGGCAGTGTGTGCTGTGTCTCTGTGCTACACCCTTCTGATCTGAAGCAGTCTTCTTTAGTGCTTCAGGAGCTATAACAAGCTCAGTGTGGAATCAGCTGTCATCACACTCCAGTATGCCATCAGCAAACGTGGAAGCAGGATGGAGCTGGCAGCCCAGTTAGTGATTCCCAGTGTACAAATCCAGCTCACCCGCTCTAGTTACCCCGCAGTGGCTCTGAAGTGAGCAGAGCTGCTGTCAGTCAGTAGCTGTAGGGTAAGAGCAGTGAGCTGCACAGCTCCCATTTCTGCCATTTTCAGTGCATTATTCATTTGTATTACAGTAGCTCCTAATAGCCCCAAATGAGATCAAGGCAACAGTGGCTGGAGGCTGTGCACATAGTGTAAGACAGCTCCTAAATCCAGGAGCATCTAATCTAATCAGCTAGTGAGCTTCTGTATGGTGCAGAGTATAGTTTATGCTTTTGAATTCTCCCATGATTGCATATACTGTGCTTTCCTGGACAGTGTGCTGCTCAACACAGCTTCTCCCCAAGTGGGAAACAACAGCAGAGTGCTAAAGCAACTGTCATTTGAGATGGATTTTAGTTTATTAAATACGAAGCAGGTGGAATATGCTCTGTTGGGCTGTACTAGAAAGGCAAATAGTTCCTGATCGCCTGAGTCTTGGAACTGTGCAGCTTTTCCTGTGGAGACCTGACTGTTTGGGGTGGGTGCCTGCTTCCAGAATGGAAATTTGGAAAAGACTCCCTATCTGAGGCTGAGGCAGGAGAGTTGAGCATAGCCCTGTCTTTGCATATGGAAAAAGTTCACAGGGGATGAGCTTTCGAGCAAGGCTCTGAAAGCCATGATTATGCTAATCCAATAACCTGGGGGCCATGGATGAAATCCTGAATTCATTAAAGTTAGTGACAAAATATCCTCCCCTAGGGACTGGGGGAACGAAGCAACTGGCAATCCATTATTTCAAACTACAAGCTGATTAATGGGGTAATTTGTATACAGATCGAGGGATGTTTTCTGTCCCTTTCTCCCAGACCCAGAAATATATCCTGACTTGAAGCTTCATTCGAACTTCATAGAAGAGATGACAGGATCCTGTTTATCAATGTATTTATTTCTAAGCAGCATTGTAAATACAAATTTTAATGGTCTTGAGACCTGCAAGGTCTATGGCCTCAGAAAGGAAATGGGTTTATTCTGGAAAGGATTTACTTGTGCAACCTCTGTTATTTTTCAGAATGTTCCGAAACACTTCAAATTATTCATTACAATACGTAATTCAATAGTAAATCTTATTAGTGTATCAAAATGTTTGAAATACATTGAAATTTTTTTTAAAGTCCTTTTCGGGGATCATGGTAAATCTCAGCTGTCGGAAAGGCAAAGCTCTGGGGAAAGAGAAGAGCCTGAAATAAGTGATCCTTAATCATAGAATCATAGAACAGTTAGGGTTGGAAAGGACCTTAAGATCATCAAGTTCCAACCCCCTCTGCCATGGGCAGGGACACCTCGCTCTAAACCATATCACCCAAGGCCTCGTCCAACCTGGCCTTGAACACTGCCAGGGATGGAGCATTCACAGCCTCCCTGGGCAACCTATTCCAGTGCCTCACTACCCTAACAGGAAAGAATTTCCTCCTTATATCCAATCTAAACTTCCTCTGTTTAGGTTTTAACCCATTACCCCTTGTCCTATCACTACAGTCCCTAATGAAGAGTCCCTCCCCAGCATCCCTATATGCCCCCTTCAGATACTGGCAGGCTGCTATGAGGTCTCCATGCAGCCTTCTCTTCTCCAGGCTGAACAGCCCCAACTTTCTCAGCCTATCTTCATACGGGAGGTGCTCCAGTCCCCTGATCATCTTCATGGCCCTCCTCTGGACTTGTTCCAACAGTTCCATGTCCTTTTTATGTTGAGGACACCAGAACTGCACACAATACTCCAAGTGAGGTCTCACAGGAGCAGAGTAAAGGGGCAGGATCACCTCCTTTGACCTGCTGGTCACGCTCCTTTTGATGCAGCCCAGGATACGGTTGGCTTTCTGGGCTGCAAGCGCACACTGAAGCTGGCTCATGTTCATTTTCTCATTGACCAGCATCCCCAAGTCCTCTCCGCAGGGCTGCTCTGAATCTCTTCTCTGCCCAACCTGTAGCTGTGTGAATAACTTGTAAAAAGCTGAAGGGTTATTAAAAGTAACTTTTTAGGACATATTACTTCTATTGTCTTATGAAATTACTCTCATGATGTTGTGGTCCTTACATTCCTGCATGCTTCTGATTAACTGTACTTTTCATTGAATACTCTAGAAGGGAAGGGGAAGACAGTGGTAGAAAACTGTACACTTTGGTGAGTAGTTGGAAACTCATGGTTTATGTCCTTTTCGTAGCTGAAGCCAGAAATTGCCTCATTCTGAGATCAAAGCTCAGCTGTCTTGAGCCCACAATGCTGTTTAACTCCTTGTTCTTGTTCTTTCTCTCTCCCTGCAGTGTGATAATGACCGGTGCATATAACAACTTCTTCCGAATGTTTGACCGGAACACCAAGAGGGATGTGACCTTGGAGGCATCCCGAGAGAGCAGCAAACCACGAGCTATTCTCAAGCCCCGGAGGGTCTGCGTCGGAGGCAAAAGGAGGAAAGATGACATCAGTGTTGACAGTTTGGACTTTACTAAGAAGATCTTGCACACAGCATGGCACCCAACCGAGAACATCATTGCTATAGCAGCGACAAACAATCTGTACATATTTCAGGATAAAGTGAACTCAGAAATGCACTAGATTTATCAATATCCCTCTATATTTACAAACCAGCCTCTTGAGAGTTGTAGAAGGATGTGATCTTCACAAAAAATTGTGGCTTCTGTGGTGGGATTTGTAGGTTGCATCCTTTCATCCCTCAGCCTGTATCTTTATTGATGGCAAGCCAACTACTTCTAATTTTCCATCACTGCAACTGTATGAGTAAAAGGCACGACTGCAAATCCAGTACTGTGGTCTGTATTGGTTCCTTTAAACAAACAGGGGTATTTGTTCACTTTGGGAGTGTTCCTGAGGAGGGCTGAGGCTCCTCAGCTCCCGTTAGTGTTTTCAAGGGTCTCAATGGCTCCTAGGGCCATGCGCTTCCAGTGCCCTGCCTGCTTTTGCAGTCCACAGCATTTACCACATTGTTAGAGCTTTTTGCCTCAGTCTCTTGATTATTTTTTTCAGTAACATTTTCCTCTTTCAGCTAAGCCAGGCCTGTTTGAGTGAATGAATAGCAACATTCCTTTAGACCTTGTGGCACATTGGGAGTGGCCTCATGACTCTTATACCTGGAAGCAGGATCCCTGCCACTGAAAAGCTGCCCTGTCTCACCTATCCCATTCCCTTCTTTACAACACCCTCTTGTTTATTTATTTATTCACATTGCTTTGTGCTTCAACTTCCCAAGTAAGTGTCAGACTGGTATAGTTACTCAGCTGGCTTACTTTAAGGAGTTTATTCTCCATAGATCTCTTTGTCCTATTCAAAACAAGTACCTTCATCACGTGAAGGACTATGTATTGCCACTTCAGACTGGTCAGACACAGCCAGGCAGTTGACAGAAACCCACCCTGCCATCTGGGGGTTGGAGTTCTGGAAACCTTGGCTAGAAGTGCTGTCCTTGAAGGCAGCAGTCAGCTTCAGTGGGAAGAAAGTTACGTCACTGCTAGACACTTCAGAAAGTCCCTTGTTTGTTGATTGCAGCGTGGTTATTTTAGTCGTGGCCTTGGGGAATACAGGCAATGTAACTGTAAAAGGAATGGTGCCGTGAGATGCAGCACTTGTCAGTGAATTTTAACACTTTGAAATGAGTCCACTGCTAGGAGACAAAATTATTCCTGGAGAAATATGAAACATAAAAAGCTCCAAACCCAACCAAACCTTCCACATATACACTGTTAGATCTATCTCTGGTTTAAAATGAATAGTGATGGGTAAATGGGAAAGTATACACAATCAGTGTGGCACATGCAGGAATCGTATGGGAACAGTGCAGTGGGCAGGAAGCCCTCTTAATCCGGGAAAAGAAAGTTCTGCTGCATCCCTAATAGCTCTGGCAGAAAAATTAATATCCCAAAGGATTTCTCCTCAACCCACGAATAAAAGAGCACAAGTCACGTGACCTGTTAATCTGCCCATATTAAAACTCCTCAGAAAAAATAAATCTCTAAGCCACTATGCACTGATTTCTTGGTAAGTGGAGAATGTACCAATGAAGGGATCTGCATGCTTCTGTAATTTGGTTTGGGAGGAAAGGGTGAAAATCTGCTTACAAGGACTAATAAAACAAAGCTTTTATATGACAACACAACACATGAACTCTGTACCTTGAAAGTTTTCTAGATCAATGCTGTGTACTTCATGTGTAGAAGCACAAACGCATGTGCATCACTTCCCAGACACACCAGGCATAGAGTATGAAATGTGTAGGTTCATTTGAAAGGGAATTGGGAGCGTTTATAAGACAGTATATGCTGTAGCAGGCATGGACAGTACATGTACATATTTATTCGAATGAAATTTAACAAAATTGCCTTTTCTTTTCCCCTCACTTGTAAAAAGGTTTAAGAATGTGGTAAATTGCATAGAAAACTTGTTAATGCCAAACTACCGCTTCAAGGGTGTCACAATTTCTTTGACTTTTGGCCTCCTCCATTAACCTTTGCAGCTCAAAAACAAGTAAAAATAATGCTGTCAGATCATACTGGCATTTACACCTAGAAGTACTGTAATACATATATTTAGCTTTTAACATTCTCAAGTTCTATAGATAACTTATTATAAAGCAGATCTTAATAAATACCACAGTTTTTTGTTTTTAATTTGAAGTACCTTACTCTGTTACAGCTTTGGGTACCAAAAAGAACGTTAAAATTAAAGAAAGAAATATATCTTCGGAGCTTTATAGAACTAATGAAATGCCCAACCAAAATACCGTGAAGTGATTATAGAGGAAATAAATAGAAACCTTTCAAAGACCAGTATTCCGTTCCTGTCTTTGACATCTCTACTGCAGATCGGTTTCCTGGTTTCTTGAATGTACGGAAAGTTAACATCGTCATTGTGAGTGTTTCCAACTTCTCTTTTTCTTTTCAATTTGAGCTTTCAGTGGTGTAGAGTAAGTGATGGTAAAGTCGGTAAAGCTGATTGATTGTTTTGGAAGCTGTTGTTCATGGCTGCATTCTTTGTGTTGCACAGATTAGCTAACTGTTGTTGAATAAAAATATAAATATGTTAATACCAGCTTTTTCAATAAAACTACAACCAAAAAGGCATAAATAGATGACTTCCAGACACAGCTTATTTTTAAGCTAGACATGAAAGGGTTGCTCAGCTCCTTTTAACAGAGGAGGAAGAGTCACAGGGATTGGGACTCACAGGACAAGCTACTGCTATGTGAACCTAAGGTTGTGTGGCAAGTAAACCTGGGGGTTTAGCATTATGGTGAGTGTGTGCAGACAGTTACAGCAGAACTGGAGATACACTTTTGATTTACCCCTTGGACCAGCTTTTTCCTCTGCTCATAGCCCAACGTAGACTGAAGGAGGTTGGAGTCTGTTTCCTACAGATGGAATAAGGCATACGTGCAATGTGAAGGGACACACACAAATACAGGGTAAAAAATGGCACTGGTGTCATCACTGGCCAGGCTGGAGGCCTTCCAGCACAGCAGGCCATGTGGGCACGTCTGGGATGTGTCCAGGCCTGGCCTCCTAAATCAGGCAGACATTGGCCCAGGTGTCAAACCATAGGGCTACCAGCAGAGCAGTGTCCCTGTTCCATCCCTTCCCCTCTCCCCCCGCTTCCTTTCTACGTCTACAACAGGGTAGAAATACATACATAAATAGGTTTTTAATAAGAAGGGGAAAAAGTGGTGCACACACACACACACACACTTAGAACTAGGAAAGCATTCACTTCCCAGTGTTGCCTGACCCTTCCCGTTCATTGTGATGCTTGCCCCAGATTTTGGACTCTTCCTTTGAATCTCAGCTAAGGCTGAGATTATTTATATTTATATTTATATTTACATTTGCATTTATTTTTATTTATATATTTATAAAGCACCTATCACCATATTGATGGTGATATCACCTGTCTGCATGTTCTGTGTGGAGCCCTGGGCTGCGAGAAACCACATGTCCATCAGCACACACGCATTAGACACTGAAAGGCTGAGTCCTTTTCCTGGATGCAGACCAGAATAAATATGCCTCAGCTGTTGTATTAGGCAGTGTGCTGCTCTGCACAGCTTCCCCACAGTTTACATGCTAATTCTCCCCCCCTTCTTTGGGAAGACACAGTCAATCCCACTCATTTAGCTGGACAAATACGGCTAGGCACTGAAGAGCGAAATCTCAGCTGAAAATCAACACTTCAAGCAATGCCCTATTTGCCTTCCCAGTTCCCCTTTTCATCCCTAAGACCCAGTAGGAGCAGGAGCCAGATGGCAAACTGTGCATTTTTCACACTCATACTTAGTAACTGCATACAGAAATTTAACCCTTTATGGTTGGAAGGGGGGTACTGATATGAGCCACCTGCTTCTCCTGTTTGCAGCCAGCAAACTCATCTTGCTTTCAGGCAGTTAAGTCCTTTGGAGCCTTCCAAGGTTGTGGCTATTAATCCCCGATGAGTGGGCAAGTACAAGGTTTGTTTGCCTTCTATGTCCAATTTTCACTAACAAACATCATTATCAGCAATTTGCTCCCACTCCCAACAGTAATCCTTTTTCATTTGCAGTCTTCTCAGCAAATCGCATTAGGTCTAAAATTAGGGCATGAATTCACTTATCTTGCTTATGTGGTAGAACCTCAGAATGCAACAGGATGACTGGAGTGGGCGAGATTCAAAAACTTGGGCCTAATTTCAGAAGATGCTTGGGGACAAGGTGTTTCTTTGGCTTTGTGAAGCCAAGGTAAGCCTGGCTGTTGTGTACGGGGGAGGTTGCTGTGCACACCGGGGAGGTTTGCTTTTGGAGGGCACCATGAGAATGCTTTTCTGAGAAGTGGATGGTTTTTTTCCTTTTCTCTGAGGTTGGACAAGGATCAAACTTGTGTGAAAGCCAGCACAGCTCTCCAGGCAGTCAGAGATCCTAAACCTGGCCTCTGATGCAAAACATTTCACGTGAAGCACCTGACTGAGCAGACTCCTTGGCTATAAAAGCTGCCATGAATATGGATCAGCCAGGCAAGGCACAGCTCATTACTTGTCTTGCCGTTTGCCAAGTGGAGACAGTCAATGAGTGGGACAAGATCCTTAAATCAACAATTCCATGAAGCAACTATTTAAATTAGGGTGGTGATGCTACATATTCTTCTTATAACATGGGCACTAACAAGAATAAAACCTGTAATAGTGACTCTATCGAAGGGTGGGTTGCTGGACAGCCTGTTTTAAAACCAGTAATAATCATAGTTATAGCATGTGTATGTCTCCTGCAGCAGCCTCATCCAACACATCTGAATAGATTCCCAAGCAGATTAACTTTACATACAGGACCAAGTGGTAATAAACTGACTGTGCTCTAGGGAGAGGAGTATTTTGATCAGAGAACTCCAGAAACCCCCTCACCACCTTTTGTGGCTTCATCATCGTTTCTCCAATAGGAGGAATAGTCTGAGGAAAAATTCACTATAAAGGATAAGTGATAACTAATTGAAACTGGAATGAGGGTGTCATATTTGGAGCAAAGAGGTTGGTATTTGTCTGTGCTCTACCTGTACAATAAATGCTGCCGTGGGCAGGACACCACAGTGAGACCCCACTGTCAATGACTTGTGCCAACATCCCAGCCCCGGCAGGCTCTGGTTTTCATTTCTCCTTGGGGAGGCTTGAACATCCCCAACAGCCCTGGACCAGGCTCCCTTGCAGGTCAGTGGGAAGACGCAGAAGGAAGCAGGGGTTTCTCTCAGATAGGCAAGATACTGGCACTGTGACTCCTTTGTGACACAGGAGACAAC